TATATTTACCTCGTTGTATGCATTTTGAACAGCCAAAGTAATCATTAAATCCTTTTGTACATGTTACAAAAGATCGAGCTGGTGTATCACAAATGACCGCCCTAATTCCCAAGTAGTAAACTGACATCACAATGACGGTAAATTTTGGTCACAAAATTACCAATTAGACGTCCTCAGTTAGGTCTCATGAGACCCGAAAATAACGTCGATATATCATATCTACGGGACGTCATTTTTTGACGTTTGTTTGACGACAAAACTAAGACCAATTTCAGTAATAATATATAATAAGACATATTAATGTGTTATATATGTTATAGGTAAATTTATATAATTTAATGTATAAAATTAAAGATCTTATTTATATGGAAGTTAATTTCTGTTTTATATTTTAAGCAGATAATAACGAATGATTTTCACTTATTTGGACAGAAATTGTCCGAATAAATTAAAATCGGATATTATCTATCCGATTTTCCAAAAATCAGTTCAATATCTGAATTTCTCGGTACGGGAATCGTATTAGAAATTAAACTGATAAAAATAATTACAATTCTGTTAGCCGCATTTTGCAGGCTTTATATACGCTTATGACAAAAATTTGAATACGGGTATAGATAGTGAATAGCGCGCCGCATAGCGGTAAGCGGATGAACTATAATCCCAATACTAGTTACAAAAGGACTTTATTTAGACGATATAGGACGTCTTCAAAATGACGTCTTTGGGTAGCTTAAGAAATGACGTCTTTTAAACGTTAATTATTAGATGCGAACGTTATGGACCAAAAATAGACGTCATTATGTCGTCTTTTGACGTCACTCTACTACTTGGGTTGTTACTTTAAATTGTAAATTTCCATCAAACTCGAAACTCTCATCATGTAATGTTTTATATTCTTTAATAAAATCTTGATGAAATCTTTCTCTCTCTCTCCCCCTCTCTCTCCCCCCTTTCCTCCCTCTCTCCCTCCCTCCTTCCCGCCCTCCCTAACTCCTTCCCTCCTTCTCTCTCTTCCCTCCTCACTTTCCCCTCCCATCCCGCTCTCTCTCTCTCCTTCCCCCCTCTCTCTCTCATTCACTCACTCACTCACTCACTCACTCACTCACTTACTTATTCTTACCTTGTTGAGATTCGATTCTTGATACTGTTCACAAATAATTGCTGCATGGCCGTGAATAGCACGAGAAATGTTCCAATGTGAGATGTTCTAATGTGACACACGTAATAAGAAACACAAGCAATAAGCAAAGTTTTTTTCATTCATGAATTGTATAGACACTTTTACACTTTTACTCACGCACTTAATCGATAAAATGAAAAATTTATTAACGAATATAACGGATAATCACAATCGATCACTACCAATTAATTATTCACTTAATCACTTGAAGAAACGCGTTAAATGCACAGCGTACGTTACTCGACGCGGAGACTGCGCGACGACAACACGCAGGTTATATCGGTACTAGCGCTGCCGAGCGCAAACGTGTGTCACGTGATTGACGCGAGACGCTACCATCTCGCGTACACGTTTTCACACACACACACACACATCCATCGCGTGTAACAAACAACGCTCGATCAGCTATAGCGAGCGCCTCACGTAAGCGCCTGCATCGAACGGTGAGTTGCGCCGCCCCTGCCTATCTTCTGTACTCGTCCCGTAGTTTGCTGATTATTTCTTTTTATAATTTAAAAACTAAGCTTCAGACAAAATTTTCGTAAAGGAAAAATCATTTTAAAATTGATTGAAGAATACGACCTTTTAAGGACAAACGGTTGTTCCGAATCACCCTGTATATCCATGTCCACCAAAAAGCTATCAAAGATATCCACTAGATATACACGTATTATCTATATATCCATGTTTACCGAGTAGCTACCAAAGATATCTACTAAATATATACGTGTTATCCATATATCTATGCCCATTAAGTAGCTACCGAAGATATTCATTAGATATTCACATGTTATCCACATATCTAAGTCCACCAAGAAGCTACGAAAGATATTTATTAGAGATTTACGTGTTCATTTACTTACCGCTATGCGGCGCACTATTTATTTTCTATACCCGTATTCAAGTTCTTGTCATGAACATATATAAAGCCTGCAAAATGCGGTTAATAACATTGTAATTATTTCTATCAGTTTAATTTCTGATATGATTCCCGTACCGGGGAATACAGATATTGAACTGATTTTTACAAAATCAGACAGATAAATATCTGACAATTTCTGTTCGAATAAGCAAAAATCGTTCGTCATTATTTATTGAAAATATAAAATAGAAATTAACTTCCATACAAATAAAATCTTTAATTTTATAAATTGAATTATATAAATTTACCTATAATATATATTACATTAATGTGCGTTATTATACATATATTATTATTGTAATTGGTCTTAGTTTTGCCGTCAAACAAACATCAGAAAAGGATATCCTGTGAATGGGACATATCGACGCCATGTGCGGGTCTCATGAGACCTAACTTTTAGAACATTTAAATTAGTCGTTTTGTGACCAAAACTTAACCAACATACAATGGATATCTACATAAATATCCACTGAATACTGATGTGGATGTCCAGTGGATATTGGTCTACGTATCCTGTGGATATTTATAAGATCTCGTATTGCGGACATTTGGATATTTAAAGCATATCTAATAGCTGTTTGCTACATATTCATGGATATCCCTAATGCACATTGAGAACATCCAGTAGATATCTAATATACATTAATTTCTATATGGGAATGAGCACATGCTAGAAAGAATCTCATATACTCTCATCTCAGTTCCAGTCGTTATCCTAATCAGATTAACCTTATTACGCCAACACATTGAATTCGCATTCAGTGATCTAAAAAATTCTTAAGTTTACATAAATATAATTGAAAGCTATTTAGTAAATTGTCAATGATTTGTCACAGCTAACTTTGGCAATACACCCCATATTTAACCATGGATATCTTATTAACCATAACCAACACCAAAAATTCCTTTTGAGGATTGGAAGTCCTAACAACATACTTTATTTTGATTGTAATAAAACGTCTCCAGCATGTCACATATTGTAGCTATAATATGACAAAGTTCGTGAAAAAACTCTTTCTGCAACTTTAATTGTAAATTATTCAAAACGTGATGGAGCAATTTCGAAACTTGATTCGTGTTCAGTGTTCAAAAACCTATAAGAAACGATTAGTCCCGTTCCGGTGTTTTTTTTTTGGTTGAACTGTGTAATTGTAAGATTTCTAAATCAGAATTTCTCCGAGCAGTTAGATTTATTTTGAACTCAACTTTTTCCACATTTAATGGTAGTATTTACTAACTAACCTTTGGTACATCCATGGGCTCCCATCTATCCCCCATTATCGCGGACATTGTATTGCAAGATTTAGAGAAAAAAGCGCTTGGGTCATTAAAGTTCACCTCTCCATTTTACTTTAAATATGTGAATGATATTGCTCTTGCTGTCCCGCTTTCTTTAATCGATTATACATTGAATATTTTCAATTCATTTAAGGGGATCCAAAAGTGACGGCCGAACTCCGACGGGTTAGCGCCCTCATCCAAGCGTAACTAAAATTATCGATAATACCGACCAAAATTATCGATAATATCAATAATTTTAGTTCCGTAGGATTTCTGAAAGATTACTTTTTGGATGGACATTGGACATCTTTTAGTCGCGCTAAAAGACTTCGTTTTGGATATCTTGAAAGACACTTTTTATCTTTCAAAAGTTATTTTAAAGAACGCTTTAAGAGAACTTTTTGTTTACTGGGCTGTGATAATACCATCTCTTTCGTCATGCTACGTGCGAGCGAGAGAGAGGTCTCTTGATAGCGTAAAGAGCGTAAAATAACTAGGCGGAAGCTGATACTCAAATGAGACGATGTGATTGGTCGGCGCAAGTTACGCTTACGCAAGTTACGCCGCATGTTACGGCACCCTTAAGGGCCACCGCACAAGCTTTTCCATAACACGTTACGTTATGTTAAGTACTGACTGTAAACCTAAATTCATACGTAACCTTAAACTTCAGTCAATGCACAAACAAAATTGTAACATAGTAGATAGCGGAACAATTTTTCAGCACTGCCAGTACCCAAGGAACACATTAAAGTCAACAAAAAGTCAAAATGACTATATTTTGATTCGAAATGGTCACGCTTTTTCCGTGTGACGAAAAATTGATTTCAGCATGGCGACAATTATGTTACTCATTGTCAGTAACGGAAATAATTCTATCAATTAAGATTATGTCGGGTTATGATATATAATAGAATATCTTTATCCTTATCATACATAAGTCTTCATACTTAATTTCTATGTGTAACTCCTCATTTTTCTTATTGTGTCCGAGCCCTAAAAATTCAGCAGTATTTTTGCTTAGACATAGACAATTTTAATTTAACGATTTATAATTATATCAAAGCACACTTAAATTCATTATTATGAATTATTAGTATGTTCTGTCATAATCGCATCAGTTCAAGTCATTGAATTCTTATTACATTTGGACATAGTAATAATTTAATGAATTAAAATTAGGTGTACGTCGAGACATAATAAAAATACAAAAATTTTATATTTACACTATTTTAAATTATTATTATATCGAGATATAATTGTAATTAAACTAAATTATAATTATATGGAGATATAATTATAACTAAATATAATTGTCTTTAAAAATTATACATTTTCTTCAAACAATTTTTTGAGGCTGGTACATAATTGATATTTTTGCAAGTGTAGACTTTGTAGCAATTACCGTACAGTCAAATGCATTATTGCATAGATATATAAAGTTATATTAAAACATCTTTTGATAATTCAGGGCGGGCACATATATCAAGGCATTATCTAGATATTCGTGCATCATGACTGTTAGTAAACAATCATAAACTACAATTTTTAATTTATTTATTGTAGATGACAGTTAATACATATATTCTATATATATATATATATATAGACGAACTTTCTACTTTAATGATAAATGGAATTATATTTAATGATACTATGTATCGTGTTGAAGTACGGAATTTTGTTTTGGATGCCCCCGCAAGAGCATTTATAAAATGCATTAGAGGACATACGTCAAGAAAAGTTTGTGAAAAGTGTCACGTCACTGGCGTGCGCTATAAGAACAGAGAAGTTTTTCTAGACCATGATGCATTTCTTCGCAATGATGAAGAGTTCAGAACAAAAATAGATGCTGCCCATCATATTCCTGGGATCACGTCTCCGTTAGAAGAAATTGGGATTGGTATGGTGTCTCAATTTAGGTTGGACGAAATGCATCTTCTGTATAGCGGAGTTTTTCAACGGTGGTTGGAGTTTGTTTTGGGAAAACAAGGGCCAAATCGAGGACAAATTTCAGCACGTGACAGGGCTGCTGTTTCCGCTGCAATGGACAACATTAAACCTCATATTCCAGTCGAATTTTGCAGAAGGCCTCGCAACTTATCCTATTTCGGAAGATACAAGGCATCAGAGTTTAGAAGGATTCTCCTGTACGATGGATTAAAAGTGTTCAGTTTGCTTGATCGAAATCTATACACGAACTACTTATTTCTGCAATGTGGAGTGTACATTCTTTCAAGTCCCCTCTTAGTTAAAAAGGACGGTATGATTCAGATAGCGGATCTCCTCCTCCGTTCATTTGTTTATCATGCTGCGGATATCTTTGGAAATGAATTTGTCACTTATTATATTCATGCACTTTGCCATTTAGCTACGGAATGCCGCACTCATCTGGCTCTTAGTAATTTCAGTTCGTTTAAGTACGAAAATTACTTAGGTGTCATCAAGCGTTGCCTAAGGGCAACACACATGCCTCTTCAGCAACTTTACAACAGAGACTTTGAAAGAGGAGGCCGACTCATGCAGAAAAACATAATTGACGAAGAGCGCATTGAACTAAGTAAAAAACATTATGAGGAAGGCGATGAAGTAGAAAATTATTCCAAGTTGACGATGCATGGAATGATACTTTCCACGTCAGAAGCTGATTGTTGCTTTCAGTCAAAAAGTGGCGAGGTGGTCGTCCTTTCAAGAATTACTTGTCCCTTTGGTGGCACACGAATTTCCTTACACGGACATAGATTTAGGAATATTTGTGACTTCTTTACATTTCCTATTTATTCTACAGACATGGGCATCTGTAAAATATCGCAACTTGAAGAAGCCGAAAAAGTCTGGTCTCTTAATCAAGTTCTCCAGAAATGCATTCTCATTCCTGCCGATAATAGTTATCTGTGTATTCCGCTCGTTCATGCTAGGCAAGAGTAAAATAAGGGTGAGATATTCTGCTAAACTGCAATAAAATTTCAGCTATGGGAAATTCGCTCTCCTTTTACTTAACGCGACATGAAAATGTCAATTTTATTGATTATTCTACTGATAAGCTATTGTTGACATTCTAACTTTACATTTAATTTTTCACATGTTAAATGCTAAGAGATATCAAACTATCTAACGTAGTCCTGATGCACTAAAATGTAGATACACTACACGACCTAAAATGTCTTAAACTAAAAAGGCATTATTGACGCCATGTATGACAACAAAGTGTTCCTTTGTTTTACTTATTTCTTCTGTTTCATGACAGTTTTCAGTTGTTGTTTGGCCGGATGGAGGCATATGCGTGGTAGCAACTAAATGGATGAATAAATCTAAAGAGACTGTCGTGTATCCTACTAAAACCAAATGCCCTACGAGATTGGTAATGTCTCTTGTGGAAGCGCAAGAAGACTGGGAAGAGTTTAACATAGAGTTTTTGCACAGTTACAGTAAGTAGCCTAGCTATAATCTTTATGCACTGAGCTCAATTATGAATACTGAACTACTATTTCCTTTCGTGTTTCCAGAAACTTTTAATCTGGCTCATAAAGCCGCTATATTGGCCGCCGAAGATCAACCTATTGACTCCAACATAGATACTGATTACGAAAAACCGCGGAAGCGTCAACTTCCGACCAGATTTACTCAGAGTTCTGATGATGACGATTGGGAGCCAGAAAATATGCATACAAAACGTAAACGGCATGTTGCAGGAGGATCCCGTCGAGAAATACAACGTTCGGAGAACGAGGAGCGTAAAGACTGTCAAAATGTCTCTCAAGTAAATAGCATACCAGCCCCTGCAGCAAATATCAGGGAGCAGCTCGCTGCATTGAAAGCCCAAGTTTCTCATTCCAAAAAAGCATTGAAATCCAACGAATCTCATTTGAATACAAAAAAGAAAGTTTTGACTGTGAAGAAACTTATCAAAGTAGTAAACGATAAAGCGTCTCCCAGAAAATCACAACCGGAAGGTAATAAATTAAATTTTCGAGTGGCATGATTTGTAATTGTGTTCCTACTCATTTTTATCATATTTGTACGGATTATGTGAACTCCTCACAATTGGTTTATGTTGCTACAGAAATTCTCATCAACTATGGAAAGAGTCCTGCAGATACAGAAAACGCAAATGCTGCTGATCTTCCGTGTACATTCCAACATACAAACCTTCATACCTCCAACCTGTTTAAATCTCCATTGGATAGTGACAGTAAACTTTTCCTTTTTTTTGGAAAAGGATTCCTGTGATATTTCTTGGATTATTTTGTTTCTATGTTAAGCGAGTATTTCCTTTTTATCCGCCGCCATCTACACTCGGAGAACTGTTCATCTATACAATTCAAAACATTTTGCTTTTTTCTTTTTTCCAACCCGTAATGTGTCATGAGTCCAAAGAGAAGATATCACAGCAATCCAGCCGGCTTTGGAACTTCTACGAGTTAGGCAGTGCAAGTTTTGATTACTCTTTCTCATTTTTCTTAGATATGACTTCCGATTCAGAAATGTTGCCCGCGACGCAAACATCAGCAGGGTCTAAAGTTTCTCCCACACTGCACCAGATGAGAGATCAAGAGGAGCAGAGTGAAGTTTTCCAAAGCAGTGACGATGATATTATACGGAAATTTGAGTAATACAGGTCTGCACAACAAGACTTTGATAATAGGGAGAGTTCAGTGAAAATTGATACCGCAAAGTCGTCCTCGAAAGGTGAGAATAATGTTTTATTTTGTTTCTCAACTATTTAATTTGTCTTTATAATTTTACACGATGTATTTTTGGCCAGATTCTGGTGACTTTTCCCGCAAGAAGGGACAAAGAAATGTCGGTAAGTACTCGTAATGTTTTCATTTTCATGTCAATTACAAGATGAGAGTGGGATCGATTAAGTGATTATGGATATCATTTTCAGAGAGCACAGATATCGCATCGGAAATTATTGACAATATTGTCAAAGTTCAAGAAGAAATACGTATCAAGCTTGACCACTTAGATGTCAAGTTAAAATATTGTAACCAAAAATAATCATATTGACTTTCTCTAATGTGATGTAGTTATGACATCAAAATGATGTCATTTTGATTACGATGTGTTCCTTGGGTACTGGCAGTGTATATCGGAACACACCCTTTCTCTGTGCGTTGACTGAAGTTTAAGATTACGTACGAGTTTAGGTTTAGAATCAGTACTTAACGTAATGTAATACATTACGGAAAAGCTTGTGCGGTGGCCCTAAGACTTAAGAATTTCAACTATACGGAATTTTCAGCGTAGCTTACGTTTCAATATGGCTGCTTTATTGTTTGACCGTGATTGGTCAATTCGCTTACGTCTTAAGTCTTAAGGTAACATTTCATGGGCAGTGAAAGGCAGCAGCAGTTTAGTAACGAACTGCTGCTGCTTTTCATTGCTCATGAAATGTTACCTTTACTGCTTAAGTTTTTTTATGTGCCACGGCCCTTATTGGCAGAGACGATACAATGACGTCATTAATCGCTCTGAGAGCGATTAAACCTGCTACATTCGAAAACGCTATTATTGTGTTTCAACTTACGTTTGTGATACTGTCAGTAACGATTATTTATTATTTAATTTTATTCGTGAATTTGAACAGTAAAATTGGAAATGATTGTGAATTATTTATTCTTTCTTAAATTTATTAAAATTTAATTTGTGAAATAAATGTGGGAAGCTAATGTTTTTGACTTTACTATATATAGACTATATATAGTTCCGATATTCACTGCCAGTACTGAAAATCTATAATGCACGTGTGACGTAAACTAGATTATATCGGAACGCAGTCTAAAAAGGATAAAAATTCGTAATCTTAAAAATTTATAGAATAATTTATGGTAAATTAGGATTTATAAACTCGCGAAGTAATTTTTCTTATTGGAAGCTGGTTTTATTGGCATTATATTTGAAATCAGTAGCAGGATTCTCTAAACATCTTAGCGACGATTATCGTTGTCGTTAGCGAGCCGTAGCCTATGAGTATTGCGCTTTTCACCAGGATTGTCCTTGCCATTGGCTGTCGCTAGTTAACGATACCGAAAATTGTCGATAGCAAGTTATTGAATCCCGCTACAGGAAGAGATAGATGAATTTCTCTATTATATATATATTGTATATCTACAAGATTAAGATCTATAAATTTGTAAAGGTAATATTAATGCAGAATTATTGAAATAGATTAACCTAGAATTAGAATTCTTTTTAGCGTAAATGAAAAAAATTCATATTATACAGAACGTCATAATGTAAAAAGAAAAGAAATTAGTCAATTATGGTAGAAAAAAACATTTATTGATGAAATGTTATGATAAAATCTCATTATTATTGGATAGATAAAATTCATAACAGAACGATATTTTTTTGGAGAGGTCTTAGGATGGTGGAGGGAGAAGATGATAAAGGAAATATACAACTTTTATTTTTATTTTCATATATATATGTATATATGTGTATATATACATACACACGCGCACACGCACGCACACACACACACACACACACACACACACACACACACACACACACACACACACACACACACACACACACACACACACACACACACACACACACACACACACACACACACACACACACACACACACACACACACACACACACACACACACACACACACACACACACACACACACACACACACACACACACACACACACACACACACACACACATATATATATATATATATATGTGTGTGTGTGTGTGTTTGTGTGTGTATGTGTGTATGCATTCTCTAAAGCGAATAATATGGCGCATGGCAACCAAACCAACTGATAAAGAATATGATCGGTATAAAGGTCTGGGAGCACCTTACGCTCGTCCCTATCATGAAAGATTTCGATGCTTCTTGAATATTTTCGGAAACACGTCGGCCCCTGTTTCACCCCCAACCAAACGATTCGTCTGTCCCGGTCGGGGGTCTGACGATCAACTCGACTGTCTTCGGACTTGCATTACTGAGCGCTTGAAGTTCTCTTCTAGAGGCTTGAGACTTCTCAGCCGGAAATGAATTGCAGATCATATTCTTTGTCACAAGCAACCGAGAAAACCTTCGTATTCTTGATAATGTGAGCAAGATAAACGTGTCTTCGGATATCTTGTCTTCAACTTTTCAAAACTCATTTTTTCAGAGTGAGAGAAACTTCAAACTTCCCTCTATCATCCAATACCTCTTGATTCAAAACCTTATAAACAAACAAACAGGTTAGAGAACTTATTTTTACTCGAGGTTCATTATTATTTCTTTTTTGTGATTTTGTTTCGTTTTCTTGCTTTTTTTTTTCTTTTTTGGAGAGAATATCTCCGTACTTTTATCAGATTCAGCCCAATGGCCAGAATACAACCGATACAACTGTAAGCTAGCAATCGAGAAAACACCGAGCACTCAATTATATTCCAGCTTTCACATTATAGCCATTTATTTTTACATAATTTAAACCTTATCTTCATAATACTAGTAGGAAGAAATATAAACTTATGAAAATAAGGTTTTGTATCTATTCCAACCTTACTAGTTTCATGCAAACAATATGGTACATTTTGCACTTTATCATTGAAACATTATTAATCAATGGTATAATATTGCAACTTAAATGCTGCATAATTTAATTGCATATGATGCAGAGTTTTGGTAAGGTAAGAATAGTAATATTGTGACATATTTTTTTAATATAATTTCTTTTTTGACCCGTTGTTAGAAGAGAGAAATATTTGGGTCAAAGTCACAAGGGCTCTCCCAAAACACCTGGCCTCTCGCATCACACTCGTGTCACTTAATACCGACCTGAAATTAATTAAGGAACAAAAAAACCATGATTTTTTTACAAAAGTTGCGGATTGCTGCTTAATTACTACCGTACGATTTATCGAATGCATTTCTCTGACGCACCCATCTGCCATTTCTCGCTAATTTAAGTACTTACTTCGCAATCCAATTAATCGTTTATCGTTTCAATTAGAAATATAAGCAGTCTACAAATATATGAATCTAAAAAAAAATATTATATCACGAGTATTCGACAATTTTTAATTTAAAGCGCTCATTAATGCAATATAGCAAAAAGCATTATTTATCGATTTTAAGATTATCATAAAATATATACTAATATATATTTGTCTATCAATTTCAATTATTTCTTTTGTGTTTTGTTCTGAAGAATATTTATACGGTCACATTCTATAAACCAATCTTTTACATTTTCAAGAAAGTAATCAGATATATTAATGTGCATATGTATGTATGATGCAGCAAACTGTCTGGTCATAATAAATATGTGTGTGTGTGTGTGTGAATATAACAAAAATTATATCTTCCTTTAGAAATATCAATGCTATGAAATATGACTATAAAATTTTTTTTGTAAAGTTTTCGTCCGCGTGAAAAAAGCTATATATACAGGGTGTCCCCAATTTAAATGTCAAAACTTTAGGAGCGTGTAGGGGACCGATAAACTAAGACAAGAAGTCCTTTAGAGATTTGCTCGTTTTTGCTTCGTTTTGAAGGATAAAATATAGCATAACAAAATTAACTAAGAACAAATGTATATTATGTAGCCGTATAAGTAAATACTTATTTTTTGTGATAGAAAAGCAGTTCTATATCCTAAAATATGTAGACGCGTTTATTTCAATACAGTGATGAAACATATGAATGCAAACTGCTTATATTACAGTACAAATTAAAATGGAAATTATACTTACGTGGTGAATAAGAACGTGATCTGGAACGATCGTAGCGAGAACGTCGGCGACTGTAGTATGGACTGGGTGAGCGACGATAACTTCCTCTATAGCTGATCCTAGTTTGCACCGCAAGCGGAGGAAAAGAAAAGAACATTATGTGTGACAATGTGCAATCATCTTTTTAAAGTGCGAGTTTGAACTATTGCTTAAGGGTTACGCTTACTCTCTACGTCTGGGTCCATCCCATCCTCTATCGTGCAGATGCGTAGGTTTTCCCATGTATATTCCAGGTGTGGGTGTATGAGCACGCTGTGTGATAGAGAAATCTACCCTTATTCTTCTTCCATCAATATCCATGCCAGTACATTGTTCTTTAGCAACTTTGGCATCCTCTGATGAGTCAAAATATACAAAGCAAAATCCTCGAGATCTTCCAGTCTATATAATAAGAATGATTTATATGCAGTATATTTATTGATTCTTTGGAAATTTTAATATATTATCATTACTATTAATTCTGCAATATGTCAGTAAATTGTACTAATTTATAATTTATATGTATAATGTTAACAGAAGCTATTGACATATATCATATGCCTCTTAAATATATAAACATTCTAAATTTTCGGTATTGTTTTATATTTCCCAATATAGATATCTTTGGAGTAACAGCCATTGTAAATTTATATATATGTATGTATGTATATATATACATATACACCTGTATGTGTGTGTGTGTGTAACATAAATGAATAATTGTATGTACCTTTGCATCAATAACAACCTGTACTCGTTCAACAGGACCGTATTTCGAGAAAATATGATGAATTTGTTGTTCAGTTGTAAAAATCGACAGTCCAAACACACCTAAACATCGGGAGGGACATGGGTTGTCGCGATTGCCGACGTGTCGTCGCCTAGACGACATCGGACTGCGTGAGTGAGATCGATACACATGCCGATCGCGGGAGTACCGCGATCGCGAGTATGAACGGGATCTGCTACGGGAGTAACGGCCGGTACGATACGGCGAGCGACTCCGACTACGGCTGCTACCGCGATGACCGGCGCTTGTGTACTTGCTGCCGCGATAAGACTTCCGGCCACGCGACACGGAACGGCTTCGAGATCTCGAGTACTTGACCTCCCTATGCGTCTCCTTCCGCTCGCGTGATTTACGCGATCTTGAATGCGATCGTGAGTCCCTTAGACCGCCGTCCGCGGTTCGTGGTCTTCGTGGGCTTGCGCTGCGACTACCGCTTCTCTGTAAATTACAAACAACTATGTTATTGCTGTCTTTTTATCATTGTTTTATTCTATTATTAGAGATATTAGAAATGTAAAAATCCGAAACTAAATTGTTATTATATTTTTCTTATATAGGTAACATTAAATATATATATATATATATATATATATATATATATATATATACATACATATATT